CTCTCCACGGTTCCCCACCATGCAAATTCTTCCCGTGACATTGCATCATCTGGGGAAGGGTCCTTTCCCTCTTCAACACCTTTTTTCAGTCTGGGAAACTGTGTTTTCGTAAGGGCACTTTCCAGTAGCTAAAACACAGAGCCTTCCTTCAGCACTGAGCAAAACTGCTCCGTGGGCTGCTGTCGCCTCTCTGCCAGTTGGGGAATGAAATGGGGTGGCTTTGAAGTGATTTGTTTTGCTCTGAAAACTCACCTTCAAGGTGCCCAACACCCCAGCTGTGCTTGGTAACTTTGGCTTAATGCTTTTATTTCAGGGTGATATGGTCACTGGAACTTAGAGGAGAACCTTAAGTGGTCTTCAGCCCCTTTGGTTCTCAGAAGGAGCATTTACAGGGGTCAGACAGGCTTTGGCTTTGTGCCCTAGTTTGCTTTAGTCTGTGGTTTTTGCGATTCTGCCTGTCTGCATATCTGCAGATGGTCTGGGAGATCTTGAAAACTTGCAGCACTTCGCTTGCTTGGCTTCACTTCATCATTTTCTCCGATACACCAGCTTCTCTTAGTGGTGTTCTAACCCTTGTAAACCACAATGATCATCGGCAATTACCTTGAAAACCATAATTCCCTCCGATGCAACCTTGGCCTTCCTGCTGCTCCATGCGAATGCTGTGGCAGCGCTGCGCGGGGAAGCTGCCTCATCCGTTACTCAAACAGGTTACGCAAGTAATTTTTCTGTAGAAATCTGGAGAGAGACAGAAGCCAAACAGCGTTGCTGGTTTTTTTTCTTGAGTCATTTGGCTGCCCTGGGACATGTGCATCCCCTTGGCCACCGAATACAACTACACAGAGGACATACAATACTACATCTTTGCTAGCCAGCGTGGTTATCTAACAGGGAAGCTTGACTCGATTTAGCACCGTGTGGAGCCAGTCTGTGGCTCTGCATCCCCAAGGTCAAACTCCCGGCTGCGCAGGCCGTCAGTCCCTGAGCCTCCCCTAAGTGCGGTTGTGTCGTGGAGGTGACAAGTGTTGAGGTTCCTCACCTGAAGTTTTTTTTTCCCTCCTGTGTATTTGCTTCATCAGTGGGTGATTCGGCTGAGACCATACAGCCAAAAAATGCCTTTCTCGAGCTGAGCGTGCCCGCAGTGTATAAACATGGGCTCCTCAAGTGCTAAAGAACTCCGATACACTCCTGCTGCGACCTGGGTGATATTTGAAAAGTTTTGGATTATTGCTAAATGAGATGATGCGAGAAACATCAGACTGTGTTTCACCGTGTATTTCATCTAACGATGTATCTGGGAATTTTGGGGAGCTGAAAATTGGTTTTTGCTTTCAGAAGAAGGCTTCCTGTTAGGTCAAAGATTGCACGCAAGCAGTGGCAGCAGTGCCGGTGCCAACGGTTTTCATCAGCAGTTCTTAGGAGAAGGATGTGTTCAGAGGGTGTCGGATTCTGCCGGGCTTGGGCTGCACGCTCTGCCTATGGAGATGAGCACTGCGGTGATGTTTTCAGAAGTGTGAGGGGTTTTATTTTATGTTTATTTCTTTTTCAATTTAATTTGAACAAGCAAGTCCATGTGAGGCACGCGGGACTGACAGCTCTTGCTTCTGTCCGATGAGCACTGAAGGGAAGATGCTGCTCGCAGAATTTCGCTGCCAGGAGTTCACAGGCTCGCTTTTGATGTGCTTGGTAGCGTGCAAGTGGGCATTCCTTTAAATTTCCCATCTAAAATACATAATTCTTTAGGCTTTTGTGCCAGAGGAGAGGTCGGAGCACTCTCTGAGTGCTGCTGTAGGCCGCCGAGTGTAGCTGTGGGCACTCCAAACTATTTTCAGATGCAGGGACACTTAAAGCCATCGCTTGCTCCTGACAGACTGCTCGAAGGCCTTTTGCTGGGGATGCAGTGAAAGGCAGCATCTTGTCCTGAAGAAACGTGGACGTGACTTGTTTCCCATTAAGCACAAGATCGTCTTCAAATCTGAAGCCTGAGGTTTCCCTCGCTGAAGCTTGTGGAGCTCACTCGCAGTCACGCACATGAATGGACAGGGCTTTGAAAGCCCTCTGAAAATCCTTGCTGAAGTTCTAATCCTTGCTGAAGTTTTAACTTCTCTTTGACTTTGCTCTGTGTTTCTCCTGCAAGTGCCCTGTGTGCTTTGAGGACAAGCCTGGGCGTGTTCCCTGGCCTGAATTTCCCTTCTGGAGTCTGGCGAGGAGGAGGAGGAGGAGGACCTGGCATATTTGGGATATGCAGGAATGTCCGAGCAGTGCCTCGAGCCTGGTACCCAGAGGGCAATCACAGGGGCTGCAACCTGGCTGCCATCTCCCCTCAGCTGCGAGGCCATCGTAGGGTGCTCAGTGCAGCCTTTTTCATAGGTTCTGTCCCCATCCCACCATCAGCCCATCTCCAGGCAGCAGTGACCACCCCAGCCTGAAGCGAATCAGCACCTGTGGAGGGAGACCTGTTTGCAGGGCAGGGCATGGCCAGGCTCTCTTAAAATCTGTTTAGGAGATGCATTAGAAATGCAGCCAGTGAAGGCTCAAGGCAGGGAGCCGAGCCCTCCTGGAGCGCGGGTTTGTGGCATCCGAGAACTCCCAAGTTTTGCTCACGAGGCAGAGCCCTCCTCTCCCTTACGGGTATTGCAACGCTGAGTTGATGAACAAACCCCATCTCCCTGGTACGGGGAGCCGACGTGTCCTTGGCTAAGCTGGCCACCAGGCGAGCCCCCGAACAGCCGCGGGCTGCCGGCCTGCCTTCCACAGGGAGCTTCCCAGGTGGGACAGCCTGTGCTAGTCTTCCTCCTGAGGTGTTTCTTTCTTGGAAAAGGTTGCAAGTGTATTCTGTGCTGCAGCAGAGCACAGGCAAAGCAGGGGGTCCCTCCTCCCTGCACTGTTCTGCAGATTTACCCTGGGCTAGGATGCACAGGGTCTGCCCACAGCACCCAGCAAGGCACCAGTGCAGAGATCTTCAGGTGAGGGATTAGTGGGCTGGGATGCCCCAGCTTGCATTTAGAAGCGTTATAATTGTCTTTAAGAGATATTTCGTGGTGGGGTTCACGGCTGAGGGGCAGAGCTGCCCACACAGCAATACTATACGTCTGGACCTGAGCAGGTTTGCACAATGCTGGCCTTGATGTTGCTGCACCTGTGGTGAAGAAGCACGAAATAAAACCTCTGAAAGGTGAGGGAAGGCGCTTAGTGTGAAGCCAGATGCAACGGGAGCAGATGCTCTTCCTTTGAGCCAGATCAGTTACAGCTGCTCAGTCCAACACTGGAATCAGCTCCGGCATCTTTGACCCTCAAGTAGTAAAATCAAAAAGGCAACTCTGATTTGCTGGTTTCCCTTTACTAGCTGAGCTCCCTGCTGTAAGGGATCTCGTCTAATGGTTTCACATGTCATTTAGCTCAAAGTGATGCTCTTGGTTACGATGGGGAAAGGAGAGGAAAACACATGGAGGCCTACCCTGCGCACTAGTTCTCATTCCAATCCTTTTCTTTTTCTTGGCATTCTTGTTTCCCTTCCACTTTGCACTTAAAAGGGGCCCAATTTACATAAAGGATCAAGCAGGGAATGCCCTTTCAGAAGCCACTGGTGGGAAGGTGCACTGCCCTGTGTGTCCATGGACCCGAGGGCTGCAGAACGCTGAGGAAGCCAGGAGTATAACTCAGTATCAAGAGGAATAAGTCTAGTTTTTAAGACCCAAGAGTAACTTTTGATCCAAACATAACCAGGAGTTCGGAACCCCCTGTTCTACATGGGACAGGAGGTACAGAGCTTGTGTCAGCAGAGCTGTTTCCAGCGGGTCCATGTCTGCCGTTGGAGCACATGCTCACCGTTGTGCTGACACAGAGCGGCACTGAGTTACCCAAGAAATGAGGGTGTTTCTTGGTGCATTTCTGCATCATGGGAGCCCTCCCTCTCTTTGTGTTACTGGGGAAAGGGTAGCAGTGGTTAGTTTTAGCTGGAGTTCAGTACATATTGTTTGTACACTCTGGACTGTTTGGGATGTTAAAGAAGTGAGATTTCTGTTCCCAACTTAGATGGAGCCTGGCTGCAGTCCTAAGGGAGGACACAGCCTGGAGGTGATTCCTGGCTCCTCCCCAGCACCAAGTGTTGTTTTTCATTTGGCTGCACATGCTGTCAGCTGAGAGCGATACCCCTATTCTTTCGTGGCTCACTCCCGTTTCTGTGCTGGCTGCCTCGGAGGGGGGACCTGGGAAAGCGTCTCCTGCCTCCCTGGGTGTGGGAGAGCACTGCTGTGTGAGTGTGAAGTCACTGGAAAAGTTCTGTTAAATCTTCCCTGGGGAGTGCCACCTCATTTGCATGGCTGAGGCATTGTGTCACATTAGGATTAGGTGGATTTTACTTTGGTAGGAAACCATTTCCCTGAGGACGTGGCATTCCTCTTCCAACTCTGGGTGCAGCTCTTGGCTCCTCTTCCCATCGGTGCACAGAACGGCACTGGACTGGTAGCAGGTTTGGTTCGTGGAGGACCACAGAGAGAATAATGCAGTGCGGGTGTATTTATGTATGACCTTGGAAAACAAGACAGCCCTTGACACCTCATCCCAGTGCATCAGGTGGTGGGTATTTAAGGGCTGGATATTGCTGCACAACAACACTGGCCAACGTGTCCTGCAGGCATAAGTGGTTGTGAGCAAGGGGTCCCTGCCATAAATCCCAGCCCACTCTTGAGCCTGTGCACTCTCAGCTTTGGTTCTGTTGGACCTTTCTTGCCCCTCTGAAAGTACCATGTATTTCCACTGTACGCATTCGGTTGCTTTCAGGTGTAGTGATCTACGTGGGGATGGGGACTTCAGACTGAATTTTCCTAATATTGGAGAACTTTAGTCCAGGATTAGATTTCTGGGATTTCGTTACTCTGTGCTTGGAAGGGCAGGTGAGGACATATGTGTTGTCCAAAGCAGCGAGTACCTCTGAATTTGCAGTGTCACTCTTACCTTGCAATGCTTGTACAGTGGTGAACATTATCTTGCTTTTCTAGGGAAGGCAATGAACCTGGAGATTCTGCGAAAGTCACGTACAGCGAGCTGCTGCGCAAAGTCTGCCAGTTTGCCAGTGTCCTCCGCAGCCAAGGTGAGCGGCTGAAGCAATAGGATGGTGGGAAGGCATGACACCAGGGGTTTGGAGATCGGGTTCGTTTCTTCTGTGGTTGCCAACCTGTTGAGTAGTTCTGAGTGCAGATTTGCTCTGCAACGCCCTTGTGGAGATTCATCTCCAGCTCTGTCTGTAAAAACTAATCAATGCTGGTCATGTCAGCTATACAACAAAGAAATCTGTGCTCAACACTTCCTGCTCTGGGGATTTTCCAGCGAGCATTGGGCACCAGTTCCCTTTCTGCCTCTTTCAAAGCCTGTATCCAATGAGAACATGGAATGTTCATTGCAGTCATCTTACGAGAGCCATAGGGCTTGGAAGGCAAAACCCAAGGCTGGTTCAGGTCTACCTCCAGCTGAAGCTTTATTGCATACATATAAATGTTGATTTAAAATCATGTTTCTTTCTGTATCCCGTTCTTCTGACACGTAACGTGTTTGTTTTGACAAACACCGCGTTCATTGTCCCTCCGCAGGCGTGAAAAAAGGAGACCGGATTTCCATCTACATGCCGATGATCCTGGAGCTGATTGTAGCCATGCTGGCCTGCGCTAGGATTGGAGCTCTGCACTCCGTCGTGGTACGAACGAGCCCTTCGAGTCGTTCTCAGTGCTGAGCTCTTTGTGGGGAGCAGCTCTTTGTTTTTGGGGGAAGGAGCTGGAAAGATGGGTGCTGGCCATGAGATGAATGGAAACGACGTTCAAGTGTTGCTGTTTCCCGGCCCTTTTCTGCATTAGCTGTGGGTTGAGCTCCTTGAGCTCTCTCCATCAGTGCCTGGTGGTATCCTTTACCGTGGGTGAACGACACGGCTGTGGTTGGGCTTTTTGGGTTGGATTTTTTTCTGTTCTTGCTGACTCGGTTGTGCGATCTCTGTCAGTTTGCAGGTTTCTCAGCAGACTCTCTTTGCGAGCGGATTCTTGCCTGCGGGTGTTCTCTCCTCATCACGGCAGGTAAAACAGGGATCTGTGCCCCTGGGCCGTTACTGTTACCTGGCTGAAAGGTCTGTTTTAAATGCTTGTAGCTGTGCTTGAGCACTTTTTGCCACTTTGAACGTACACTGAAGCATCTAAGCAGCCCGCCCACTTTGTCCTGTAAAGCGCAGTGTCACCAGCTGCTAATAGCATGTTTCCAGACACTTCTCATCCATGTTCCCCTTCAAAATTAGCCAGATGTTTGCAAGATGCGTCACTGATGAGGAAGTCCCCATATGAGAATACCCTCCCTTCCTAATTTCAAGGACACTTGTGCTGCAACTCTCAGCCTTGCAAAGCAAGGGCTTAAGAAAATAATTTTTAAGAAGGGACATGTAAGCCCACTACATTTCCCCAACTGGTTTTGCAGTAGTGCAAAAAAAAAAAAGTATTTTTATTAGTATGTCCATGGCATGGAAGAAGACCCACTGAACTACAGTCTATGTTCTGACCTCATTGGGTTAATTCCCACAGAATATTCCCGAGAGTTTTGTGGAGTCAGATTGGAACCTCTCCCAGGGAAGGAATTTCACTGTTTCTCTCGGCATCTGTTTCTCTAGGCTAAAAGGATGAATTTGGAAACTTTTCCCATCGGCTGCCTGTCTGCTTTCCCTCACTCTCGTGCCTGAGCTTTGCTCTGCCCTCCTGAAACTCCTAGTTACCTCCAGCTGTCCCAGACTGTGAAGCAACTCTAATGTTTTCCATCCCGTTTTGCAGATGCCTTTTATCGGGGGGACAAGCTTGTCAACTTGAAGCAGATTGCAGACGAAGCCCTGCAGAAGTGTAAAGACAAGTAAGTAGGGATTCCCTTGTAAGCAGGGCTTCGCTGCTGAGATCCGCAGTGAAAATGGAACTTTTCAGAGGTGGGAAGTTTCTGCAGCAGGTCAGACATGAGGAATAGTACATGCTTCAGCTCCCTCGTCCTAAAAAATATTTTAACTTTCCTCTTGTCCGTTCTGACCTGAAGGCCGTGTTCTACCTCCAGTGCTGCCTGTAAAGCCCACGCAGGCCGAGCTTAGCCCCTGCCTGC